TCAATGAATTGCAATTTGATTTGTAAAATAATCTTTGAATATTATTTGATCAACGTGGTCTCTTCATGAGCATCACCATCCTCTTCATTCTGACTATTATGATCTTCTGCATGATTCCCATCACTTGGCTGTAAATAAATAAAAAGATAAGTTGCACTCATGGAGCAAAAGTGACTTTCACTGTTCTAGCTTTCATCAAAACCAAGATGCCAATTTTCCAGGCTTTGTTTTAAATATTAATGGGGTCACCAGCCACCTCATCTGGTTACTACACACAGGGCAGCAGATTATGTAAGATTATGTAACACTTAGTGTTTTATACTGCTTTCATAGAGGTAGGAACTAATTAGCCTGGAACTAGTTGCTATGCACAAATGTTCAATGGGGCCACATTCAAGTTACATGAAACAGTTTACGCATGACCATCGGCCTGATGCATTATTCTTACTAGGCAGCCTAGTAAACTATATTGAACACAACGTCTTCTAATCTTTCTAAGTCTATTCTTATTCAGGATAACCAGAGGACAAAATAGAGGTGCACTTCAGTCTAGAGATAGCATGTAATCCACCATGAAATGTTTATGCAGCCACATATAACGACTCTATAATCTACTTTTCCAGATAATAAAGATGGCCATTAAATGTTTTATACATAATTTATTTCCACAAGGTTGCAACATTATCAGTCCTCTTTATCCATCCTTTTGTCCAAATTCTGAGGTGTTCTTTTTCCTCACTTGTCACCTTTACTTGAAATGTTAACTCTGTCGACAAATATTGTTTCATTTGCTGGGTATTTCCAACATTTTATGTTTTCTTATCTTAGATTTCCAGCAACCATATCATTTTGCTTGTGTTTCCTTTTTGCTGTTTATTTGCTTATAGATCTTCCATCTTCCTCCTAAATTTTAGTCTTCTAAATCAGTCATTATTTCCCAATAACAGAAATCACAGCATGAACAAGAAGTTTCAATTATGCTTAAATCGCAAATGTACGTGCTAGACTGCTAGGTTCAATTAGGTCTGTGCAAGTAATGTTTGATTGAGTGATCCAAAGTGCATTTTTTTTTAAAATCAAGATGAACTTAGGGGAATTTAAGGTATTTATCCCAGAAGAATCTAATTAGTAATTGTGCCAATGTAGACTACTCAGTTATATTGTAATTGTCTAAAGTTAAAAACTGGGCAACATCATTTAACATAACTTGAAATTCAATGTTTCATACGGTGTGTAAAAATATGTTGAGGTTTCAAATTTTAAACATTTCTATGTCCTCAGTTATCTAGCTGCATAACAAAATTTACCAGAAATACACAATGTTGAAAGAATGTCAGTATATCCCACTAAATGTGGGGCAGCAATGACATAGTGATATTATCACTGGGCTGTTAATACAGCAACTATGGCAGATGGTGAAATTTGAATTCAATAAAAATCTCAAGTTAAGAGTCTAATGATGACCATGAAGCTGGCATCAGTGTTCACATTACCAGTAAAGTGTGTGAATACAGGCAACCCCTGGTCCTGAAGAGACATGGAGACAATAAGGACTGCAGATACTGGAAGCCAGAGTCTATTCGTGTGAAACTGGAAAAGCACAGCAGGTCAGACAGCATCAGAGGAGCAGGAAAGTCAATGTTTTGGGCCGAAACCCAAGCCCAGTCCTGACAAAGGGTTTCTGCTGAAATGCTGACTTTCCTGCTCCTGGTTGTGAACAGATTCTGTTCTGGAGTCCATTCGCAAGTCGATTTGTATACATGTTGGAACACAAAGAGCTGTTCATAAGTACAGGAAATATGCATCTGTTGGGTCTTTAAAATTATCCATTCATTAGTATAAGCGTTTGGAAGTTGGATGTTTGTCAATCGGGAAAACCATATATACAAAGAACAGAACATCTCCATTTACAGTGTGAGCAGTCTTTCATTTTTGAACTCTTTACCTGAATAGGGTCATGACAAATTATACATCAGCTTATAGTCATAGAGGTCTATGGCACAGAAAAAGGCCCTTCAGCCCATCGAGTCTGTGTGGTCAAAAACAACCAGTTAACTATTCTAATCCCATTTTCCAGCACTTGGCCCATAGACTTGTATGCTTTGGTACTGCAAGTGCATATTCAAATACTTCTTAAATGTTATGAGGGTTTCTGCTTCTACCACTTTTACAGGCAGTGAGTTCCAAATTCCCACCACCATCTGAGTGAAAATAAATGTTTCCTCATATCCTCTCTAAACTTCCTGCTCCTTGTCATAACTATAAGTATCCAGCCCAGGCAACATCCTGGTAAATCTCCTCTGCACTATCTCCAGCACAATAACATCCCTTCTATAATGTGGATTCCAGAACTGCGCACAAGATAGTAGCTATGGCCTAACCAAGGTTTTATACAGTTCCAGCATAACCTTCCCGATCTTAAACTCTATGCTTTGGCTAATAAAAGTGAGTATCCTGTATGCCTTTTTAACCACTTTATCTACCTGACCTGACTTTAAGGGACTGGTGGACATGCACACAAAGATCCTTCTGTTCCTCAGTGCTTCCCAGGTCCTCCCACTCATCATGTATTCCCTAGCCCATCTATATACTCTTGTAATCTAAGGCTATTCTACTCATTATTTACCACAAACCAATTTCACATCAATCATGAACTTACTGATCAACTCTCCGACATTCAAGTCTGAATAATTTGTATACACCACAAACAGCAAGGGCCCCAACGCTAATCCCTGTGAAACATCACTGGATACAGGCTTCCCATCACTAAAACACCCTCGATTATCACCCTCTGCTTTCTACCAATCAGCCAATTTTCTTTGCTGTGCAAGATCTTGTCAAAAGCCTTGCTGAATCCAAGTGGACTCCATAAAATGCATTGCCCTCATTTACATGGAACAAAAACAAAGTTGCTGGAAAAGCTCAGCAGGTCTGGCAGCATCTGTGAAGGAAAAAAACAGAGTTAACGTTTTGGGTT